ATCTAACTCAGGTTGGGCATTCGCACTCAAATGCATTTCATAATTATTTCTTGTCGGTGAATATTTAGCATACAAACATGTTATCTCATTCCTTACATACTCTATAAATATCGTAGACTTGGAATCTACAGATATCAATATCGATTTGAGGTGAATTTAAGGTCAACTTTTAGAACAGTTTAGTTGCATCATGTCATGGACTTTTAGTGCATTTTTAACTATGATTTGTGTTTTTGCAGTGACAATTAGTGGTTTTTATTATTTTATATTATTTAAGAGTACTTATTAGTGTGTCGCTTTTCAAGAACTTCCTTGTTCTTTATTTCAGTCATGAGACGGCGAACTTTTCGAGGTGTTTTGCATTAGTCATTTGTTCTCGCTGGTCAGTGTAGATACGTTTACGTATTAAAAGAATTCTCCAACGGTCTTGTATCAATTCATAACAATAATAGTACAGTTGGGGATAAAAAAAAACCGCTATTAACATGTCGATTGCAAATCAATTTGAATCGACAAAATGAAATCAAGTAAATGACTTATTCGAATGCATCTATATGAATTCTAGTGTAGACATCATTCATTAATTATAAAATTGAATTTTAATGCAGTTCAGATTTCAGTATAAATGCACGACCGAAGCTACTACGTTGACGTGGTGGTCGGGCTTGCCTGTCGTCATGACCCAATCCAGCTATATTGGCTGCAACATATGTTCCTGAAGGTTCTACCATACCAGGCAGGTCGATTGGAGAACGATCACACTCAAAGCAGCTACTCAACGTTTGAGAGCGAAGTCGTACTGCTGACTACTGCAGAAGAGTGTGGCAGCAGTAAGGTGTTTCCCTCGGATAACCAGCATCTGCAGCGGTGCTGCCTTCTCACAAGGAAGGGAGGGTTGGAGAAGGTCGACCCTGAAAATGTCACACCTCAACCTAGCTCCGTCTCAGGCAGTAAGGGCTTTCAAGAGCGGAGCTAATACTCAAAAAACCTTTCATAAGAAGGCCGTGCGTGACCGGCCTCAAGCAGTTATCCCTTGGGCTGTGATCACGCTCCCAGGTCCCTAAGACCAACACTAATCTACCTTTCTTTTCATGTCCCTCAAAAAACAACCTTCCACGGTGTGGGCAGCCGGGAAGTGACAACCGCCCTCATACCCGTAACAGCACACGAGACCAAGTCGGTCATAATCAAATCCTTCCTACACCCACACATACCTCTCTTATCTCCACGACTAACTCTTCTCACATTCCTTTATCACACTGCACAGCAAATGCAAACGATACGAGTTCATGAAACGTCATGGTGGTCCAGTTTCACAGTTTGATTGACTGGGATCTTAGGAGAGCTAGTCCAGCCCTAGGACTCAGTGCTATGCCTACACCAGCGAGACTCCGGGAAGCAGCGTCAGGGCTTCCAGATACACGAAGGGTAAATCGAGTTGCTTCTTTATCTTGACATGGTGAGGTCAAGTGAATGATGCTACTCGGATCCTGTATGCGCGTTTCGGAGACGCGGCATACATCGATGGCACGAGTTTCTAAAGTCCTAGCTAATGATGCCTGTTGCCCTATTCGACACAATGTTCGTACATTAAATGCTCCAACATGTAGTGTAAAACGGGGTTACAAAAGACCAGAAATGACGTTTCGTGAACTCGCATCGTTTGCATTTGCTGTGCAGTGTGATAAAGGAATGTGAGAAGAGTTAGTCGTGGAGATAAGAGAGATATTACGGGGTGTAGGAGGGATTTGATTATGACCGACTTGGTCTCGTGTGCTGTTACGGGTATGAGGGCGGTTGTCACTTCCCGGCTGCCCACACCGTGGAAGGTTGTTTTTTGAGGGACATGAAAAGAAAGGTAGATTAGTGTTGGTCTTAGGGACCTGGGAGCGTGATCACAGCCCAAGGGATAACTGCTTGAGGCCGGTCACGCACGGCCTTCTTATGAAAGGTTTTTTGAGTATTAGCTCCGCTCTTGAAAGCCCTTACTGCCTGAGACGGAGCTAGGTTGAGGTGTGACATTTTCAGGGTCGACCTTCTCCAACCTTCCCTTCCTTGTGAGAAGGCAGCACCGCTGCAGATGCTGGTTATCCGAGGGAAACACCTTACTGCTGCCACACCTTCTGCAGTAGTCAGCAGTACGACTTCGCTCTCAGACTTTGAGTAGCTGCTTTGAGTGTGATCGTTCTCCAATCGACCTGCCTGGTATGGTAGAACCTTCAGGAACATATGTTGCAGCCAATATAGCTGGATTGGGTCATGACGACAGGCAAGCCTGAACACCACGTCAACGTAGCAGCTACGGTCGGGGAATAGTGTCAATCAGTCAATTAGTTACACGTATCGTTTAAAATTGCTATATTGCACGAAGCCAGAGAGTTAAATTTGTTTCAAGTGAAATCCTACGGTGGCAAGAGTACAAACAGTAGCAGTAGACCAGAAAATATAGGCAAGATTTCAAGACCCAGGTTGTAAAGGAAGATAAAGAAATGATGCACCTGTGTTACTAAGAACGAGTTTGAGCTACGTCATCTAGGTCTTTAACTACTGGTTACAATAATCATGCGGACTCCATCCACGTCTACACTTATTAATATAGCTCTATTTATTGTCTACTTAATGGACTATGAAGATTGGGCATACGAAACACATATCTCAACCATACTTGATAAAAATCCAATATTTAGTACACTATTCATAACCTCAGCGCTGGTCCCAGCATACACGAGCAATGCTCTGACGACGCCTACAGTGGAATGCTTGTAACCTATAAAAACCCTCCATCCCTGAATATCATGTTTTTTTACCCATAAAGACATTGTGATGAATAGATTGCCGTGCAGGTAAGGCACTGAAAGTTTAAACAATAGATTTACATCTGGGGGCTTGTGTCGTTAGATAAAAATAGTACAAAGCCACCATTTTAAATTATACTTCATTTACTCGTTAACACCTTCTACAATATTTTAAGCTGTTTATATTTTACGGGCTTTTTGATCATTTGGAATTACATAACTAGTTGGACAGTGATCGTTTGAACAGTACGTAACTGCTAGATTTATATAATATAAAAATTAGCTGGCAAACAGTGGTATTTGATTTAGCATACAGAGCTAGGCCGAAAAGAGTCGTTGTACATAAGTATCTGTAGATGGACTAGGGGTTGTAAATAAAAGTCGAAGGTATATGCAACTAGATGGGTTATAATTTGAAATCTTTAAAAAATGAGCAAAATCTTTAAACTTCACTACTTAAAAGTCATGTAGAGGCAAACTTAAAACACACATTAGCAAAGACAGATTCAGAATACAAAATAACTAAGCTAAAAAGCCTCGTCTTAAAATAGTATTCTTACCTAGTAATCCTTGAGTTAAATACTTATCTGCCGTGGTATTTCTCCGACGTAATTCAGACTGAGGTGTAACAAGATTATTCATCGATCCATAGATTGGTCTAGGGGTCTTCTTATCCTTGTTTAGCACAAATAACTGGAATTAAGGTTCTCTTACCTCAATAGCTATAGAAGCGAATTTTAGCGGGTCAAAACGTTTGAGAATTTGTTGAGCTTTATTGAACGTTTCCTTTTCCATCACCTCTTCTAGCTTGTATTAAAAATAAATGTATCTATTGAAACACACCAATTTTTGTTTAGTAGCCCGAAGCTGTTTTAATTTTTCATCTAGAAATTAATTTGAGATAACTCACAACACTAACTTGTCTTATGTACGCGTCTAGAGAATAGTACCCGTAAAATATACTTCAGGAAATATATACTAGAAATTAAGTCAGCTTTATATGCAAGTACCAAAAAGGATAAACAGCAAATATCGTACATATCACCATTTTCCCAGTTAACGTACTGGGCCAGAAGTAGTAATAAACTGTGATAAAACTCAAGCCAAAGAATATAAACGAGTAGAAAAGCAGACGAAATGCGAACTGTTTCTCTGAGTCGATACTGTTGGAGCGATCATTTTCCAGCTCCAAAATTTCCTAGTTATTGATAATTAAATGTGCGAAAAATTACATCATCGATGTCCTCCAATTGATCAACAACGGACTTCTTAGACCTCTAAAAATACTATGAACATGTAAGTTTTACGAAACCTTGAAGATCCAAAACATGTATCTTTTAACCGAGTTCATGGGAAAACAGCATCATGACCTTAAGATGGTTTGACGAAGGCGCCTCACGAACACCGAACATAATTGGTACGAGGTAGCGAACTATTTTCTTCTTCGAAATCTGAATCTCAATAGTATTATGAAATTATGTGGTTACTATTATTTTCATTTTTAATCTTGATGGTAAAATTGATGAGTCAACAGTTCAGTTTAAATATCAGTTTGGAAAGGACAAGAGATTGGGTGGCAGTTGTAAGTCCAAGTAAAGGTGATCTCACAGCTGATCATATTATCCCTTGGTCGTCTCATGAAAAGGGGAATTTTTACTCCCTGAGCATAGTTTTCATCACTATTACGCATCCTAAATACTGTTTTTCACTCTAATCGTATTAATTTCATTTTGAGTGAGACCAGGAGTATTGATTTTTTTCTGAGCCTAATTTTTGCATCTGTGTCCTATATAGTCAATCGGATTTGATTTTATTTCCGCACTTTTATATCTAAAAGTTCACGGTTTACTCTTGTCCGGTCATAAGTTTTCGAATTCACGTGCCTATTTCCTTCTAGAATCCTCTCATTGATGACCAGACTGTTTAAAAAGAGTATCTGCTTCCTCTTAGGGTATCGATCTCTTGCAAAAAGCAGTATTCTGTGTGATGAGTGCAAACCATGTTGCATCGTGATGCTGAAACACGCTGCTGGTTTTGCAAAATGGCACGTGTTTTTTGTAACATTAATGATGATCTTATGCAAAAAGCTTGTTATCCTATGCGATTGCAATAGTGAACGCTTTCAAAAGGCATTTGGGTAAATGAAACAGAGATGGTCCAAGTGGTTTTCTTCACAATAACACACAAGTGGATGACAGATGTCCTAGTGAAGCCCAGGGCCAAGAGGTTTAAATGGGCCAAAGGAGAAAAGACCGATGCCAAAGAGGCCTATGAGGAACAAAGGCTCAAAGAATTAGGTTTCGTGCTTCGCCTTTTACGTGGGCGGTAGCCGAGAAGCCCTTCAGAAGTCTAAACGTAAGCTTAGGTCTGTCTATAGCAGAATTGCGATCTGTTCACACAGTTTGTCGCAATTTACCTGAGTTATCATACTGTGCTCAAACAGCTGTGATTGCCACTCCAGTAAAAGTTGACGAATGGATACAGCTAACGGAAAAAAACAATGGGTTTCTTTAAACAATACCGATTCCCACGGTAGCAGGTTCGAAATCAAAGAGTGATCACTGTGAATGGTCAGTCATCTTTCACAGACCAAACTAGAGTAAAAGCTCTGAGCCAAAAATCCGCCTTCAGAATAACAATGGATTGAAAAAGGATCTGACGCCTCAAGAAATACTTAAGATCTTCTTGTTGATTGTTTGAAGGTTCAGAGGCTTGACAGACTCAAAGGCAAACTAAATGAGGTTGTTAAAAGTATTATTTAAATCTCTTACTATAGACATCAACAAAAGTGATATGGAGTTTTTGCTAGTTCAGACTTATCAAAGCGAATAGTAATAGAAAGCGAGAGGCTGGAACTGAAGTAAAATGAAGTTTAGATGCTGGCAAAAAGGGACTTTACAAATGAACATTTTCAAGTGATGAGACTTCGTCAGAGAATTACGAGGCCACTTTGGGATCTACACGAATTTATTTAGATAGTCTTCAGGTCTTCTGCACAAACGACTAGTACAGATAGACTCAACTAATTCAGACGTAATCATCGTCATATGGACATGACCGACTCAGTCTGTGGATAATAAAGAACTTGATTTCGTTATTATCGCTAGTAGACAGTTGTCGTGACACGAGGATGTTGTGCATATTACATCCAGAATTAATGATGTGGTCCTCTTTTAAAATATGATTGACAATGGCAATAAATCCAGTTTTAAGCTCTGAACCATTTATTTTATCCATTAATTGCTAGTACTTTGTTCATATACATTTCCATTGGTAACTTTGATGACATCATTTTTAACAAGGCTCCACAAAGATAGATAAGGTGTCTTAGTAAGCAAACCTTACAGAAAGATACATTCAAGTTGTCGCGGAAATGAAAAAATGCAACATAAAGGTGCTTAGAATCACTAAAACACATTGGACACAGCTAGGACAAAAATGATTGACGTCAGGAGAGATGCTGTAATACTCAGGCCATTAAGAAGTAAACGACTCGAACACACAAGGAGTTGCACTGGTGCTGTCCAAAGAAACACAAAAATCACCTGTAGGATATTAATCTCGTCAAATCAGGATAATTACTCATCCTTCAAGACAAAGAAAGAAGTGGTCGTGAAGAATATAATTTAGTGCTTTGAGCCTGCAGACGAAAACACTGAGGAAGGTAAAGGCGATTTCTATGAGAGGAAGGCAGATGCCAATATCAATCGAACAATGTGCAAACATCTTCCTGTTTAGATTCGTCAGATAAAGTAACCAAATCTTCGGCAATTATCCAGGGTAATATTTTAGGAGTATTATGAGTTGCTGAATAAGAGAAATAAAGAGAAAGGTGTGAGAAGCAGAACAGAAAATATTCTTGTTGTAAGCCGAACAATGACTCAGCAGACACTTTCTCCGGTAAAAAAAAGGTATGATAACTCGAATATTTTTTATATTAGAACTCTGACTGTTCACCTGCACTTATCTAGGTCAATATAGGCAAACCAGTAATAACATAAAAAATGGGCATTTAATCATACTTTTTTTCTGGTTAGCTTTTCTTTTGGCAAGGGAGATTTCAACGGAATGGGGTCGCCAACCCCATGTCCAAACCTCCTCCTTTATCCGGGCTTGGGACCTGAAGTAGCCCCTAAGGTTCTACTGGCGGAGTTCATTTAATCATATGAATAGAGGAAATTCAGAAGAACCATATTGTTAGCAATAATGTTGATTTACAGAATATAAAAATGAAGGCACAGTGATCTGATGCTTTTATGATTTCTCACTAATTTATTTTTTTATCGCTGTCGCTCAAGAAGTCACAAGTGTTACCCTCGTAAGGAAATCATCGACTTGGTTCCTAATTAGCTTCAAACGTCGATAATGCGTAGTATAATGACGAGGTGTTGTTGAAATGTTGGCTTGATATCTGGACAGTATCTGAGAATGTGCGTTCATATGGGTTAAAAGGCAGGATCGAATTACAGTACTTGTCCAGCTCACTTGCACCCAACTTTCGAAGTAGCTGCCGAGCCTCCCAAGCATCATCTTGATTGGAGAAATCAGATTTAAATAGATCTTTATAACGCTTGAACCACACGGCAAAAGTAACATTGGCATCATGATCATAATGGAATTCAGCAATGCTATTCGTGATGCCATCGACTGATGCAGCTGTGGTTGAATTAGATGAAGTGCGATGTGTGGAAGGGGAAATCTTCTTATCTGTCAACATCTGCATTAGTTTCAGCTGCTGCTCAAGTAATAATTCAAGTTTGGCATGATCCATGTTTCCAAAACCTTCGTCGTCAATTGTTGTGCTCGTCACTTAACATGCATGAAAATATTACGAGTTCACCTTAGTCCATAAACGAGAACGAGACAATGACCCAGTGACACTGTAGACTACTCTGATTCGTCGCCCCAAATAACTGAAGGTAAAGACATGATATTGCGTAGAAAGTGTATTCTACAAGTCCGTAGTTTTGGACTAAGTTTTTCGGTCCTTATGAGTATTTACGAACAAGTCAAGTTAATTTCCAGGCTTCTGCCCTTTCAATGAGTGTGGGGGTGTTTCATCAGCTCCAAAGCTGGCATTGTTGTTTGAGGGTTTTATTGGCAACCTGAATATTGCTAAGATCAAAGTTGATGGTAATCAGACTATTCTTATTACTGCAGTTCACATTATTATCAGAGGTTAGAGATTTGTTCTGAGAACCAAGGACTAAACAGTTCACAAATAACATTGTGGTCATAAGAAGTCCTTCCACCATTGAACATAGAATGAATGTTGAGATATGTGTTCTTTTTTAGGCGTTCGTCAAGCAGACGACGCAGGTTTTGGGACTTACATGAAGTAGCGAGTGCAGTACATTCTTCCATTCGCATAGGCTTTTTCTGATGGCTTTTTATACTCTCAAGTACGGCTTAATTTTGACGCAGAATACTGATGTACTTAGATATGAATTTTCCGTTGTGCACCTGCCAGCAGATTCCAAGGAGATTAAAGTTAACATAAATAATTTTGTTGGCGAATTTAAAAGAGGCCATGTGAGGTTTAGAGTGGCCTCTGAATTCGGAAGAACAGTTCCAGAAGTTTAGATACACGACCTTCCCGGATATCCAAAATAAAAAGAAATTTATCTGGGTAAGAAACGTTTCTATTATTAATTAAAATTTAAAGATCATTACCTGAACAATATTACACTGTTCTACCTCCATATTAACACATTGTGTTTCCAAATCTGGAAGAATGCTTCCGTTTAGGTCCAAAATTGCACCCTTCCAGTCCATATGTATGTTTCACCCGCCAAGATGCCAAATCCGATATGGCTGACGCCTTTACTAAGTATCGAATTAGACAACATAATACAGTTCTGCAGAAAAGATAGAATTTGCAAAGAAGGTACAAAAATAGAAACTATGACAAAGTACGAATCATAACATCACGAAATGGGATCAAACAGAGTACCGAAATGTAGCAAAGATAGAGTCAGTAAGAACATATTACAAATTTGTACATGGAGGGATTTTCCAAAAACAAAGCCTTCAAAATGGACTCTACACCGGCCCGCAAAATCCCTCCATACAAAGCGAAGCCCTTTATATGCCTCAGATCATGGTTCACTTTCATAACCTAATCCACACCAGAAGAACGAGTATGACTTACAGCAGTACGCCTACACGCCCTCCAATATGGATATGACCTATGAAGCTCATTATGTACCTTTACCTTCCCATCAGGTTCTTGATTCCTCTATCGTAACATGACCTAAAGGTAGTATAAACTTCATCCGGTTAACCCACATGAACATGTATGACACGTTGTAGGGCTGGTCACATCCTATTCGGGATTGGCTCTACACATCATGAGGATGAATAGTCAATCCACCACCACTTGCTTCAAACGGCAGACACAATG